TTTTCTCTTTTTGGGTCACACCCAATGATGCTCAGAGGTTACTCCTGGCTCTGCACTCAGGAATCACTCCTGGCAGTGCTCACCCGGGTTGGCTGCATGCAAGGTAAATGCCTGCTGTATGATCACTCCAGCTCCCTGCTATGGATTCTTTAAAAAAAATTTTGGGGCGGGATGGAGGGAAGGGGCATTTTTTTTTTTTTTTGCTTTTTGAGTCACACCTGGCAATGCACAGGGTTTACTCCTGGCTCATGCACTCAGAAATCACTCCTGGCAGTGCTCAGGGGACCATATGGGATGCTGGGAATCGAACCCGGTCAACTGTGTGCAAGGCAAATACCCTGCCCACTGTACGATTGCTCCAGCCCCTGGGGAATCTTTTTTTATTAAGGCACCATGATTTACAAAGTTATTCATAGTTGAGTTTTAGGCATACTGTGTTTCAACAACAGTGTCAACTTCCAGCCACCGGTGTCCCTAGGTTCCATCCCATCTGGTATTGACTATGAACTGACAAGGGGCAACAAAATATATTAACAGGTCAGACATAAAGAAAGGGTCATGGGGCTGGAGCAATAGCACAGCGAGTAGGGCGTTTGCCTTGCACGCAGCCAACATGGCCGACCCAGGTTTGATTCCCAGCATCCCATATGGTCCCCGAGCAGCCAGGAGTAACCCCTGAGCATCGCCGGGTGTGACCCAAAAAAGCAAAAAAAAAAAAAAAAAAGAAAAAGAAAAAAAGAAAGGGTCATAAGAAATAAGGAGGGGAGGGAGGGGTACTCAGTACTTGCTCACAGCACTCTTCTAGCCATGAACAACAAGGTCTATGTTCTCATGGACCAATGGGGAAATAAAAATCCACGCAAAGGGCGAATAATCAATCATCAAGTTTCAGATAGAAGATAATGAAAGATTATGCTCATTGTGAAGAAGTCAGTAAGGTGATTAGGTGAGAGGTTGCTGGCTGAGGCCACTTCAGCCAACAAGACCAAGCCTATGGCTGTACTAAATGATCACCAAGGAAGTGACATCAAAGCAAGGAAACCTGGGTGGATGGCAGAGAAGCCATAGAGAAGGTTTCAAGGAAGCAATGGCAAGATGCTGACAGGTCCTAATGAGGTCAGAGTATCTGCTGGAGCTGATAGTTTTGTTTGGTTTTGGGCCACACCTGGTGATGCTCAGAGCTCACTCCTGGCTCTGCGCTCAGGGATCACTCCTCGTGGGACTCTGGGAACCATATGGGGTTCGGGGATTGAACCTTGTTCCTGTGCAAGGCAAGAGTCCTACCCACTCTGCAATCCTTCCACACCTGGACCTGACGGTTTTATAAGAGTGGTGCCAAAGCATGGCAGAAGCCCCAGACAGCTGAGGGAGACTTGAAAGTGACAAAGCACCCCCATCATTTATTTTATTTATTTATTTTTATTTATTATTTTGCTTTTTGGGTCACACTTGGCGAAGCACAGGGGTTATTCCTGGTTCACGCACTCAGGTATTACTCCTGGAGGTGCTCAGGGGACCATATGGGATGCTGGGAATCAAACCCGGGTTGGCTGCGTGCAAGGCAAATGCCCTACCCGCTGTGCGCCCTACTCCAGCCCCCATCATTTTTTTTAAGTTGTTTTTCTCTAGAAGGAAGCAGAGAAGTGAAACCACTAAGGGAAGGGAACTTAAGTGCTCTGGATCCTTTTTGGTCCTGGGCAGCAATGTTTTTGTCCTTTTTTCACGGTTATGGTTGCCTGATTCTATTAGCAGGGCAGGGTAATGCAGAATAAAGTGACTCTGTAGCCCTCCCCCCAAAGCCAGTTTTGTGGGGTTGCTTATTATTTTCTTAGTTGATCAGATGGTCCCTTTGCTCCCATTGGCATCAGCCAGATCCCGCGCTGTGGTTCCCTTGAAATTTCCTGTCGTTGTGCGCCTCAGTGCTGCCACCTTGGCGCAGGGGGAGGAAAGGCTCTGAGGGCTTACTGTACTCATTCTCTGTCACGAGGGGGCAGACAAGCTCATGCTGCCCCAAAGACATGCAAGACAGTGGAAGAAATCTCTTGGCTGGGCTCTGGGACCCTTCCCTGAAAGTAAGTCTGCATGATGGAGCAGCCCTTTGGTGCGGCCAGGGAGGTGCAAGAGAGCTGCTTATCTACGTAAATTAAAAATCTCGTAGTAGAGAAATTGACCCACAACTTTCTCTTACTATCAGATATTTTGGTTAGTTTTCTAAGTGTTTGAAATATTTTGGAAAGTGTCTCTCCCTCCCTTCTTCCTTCCCTCCCTCCCTCCCTCCCTCCCTCCCTCCCTCCCTCTTCTTTCCTTCTTCCTCCCTCCCTCCTTTCTCCCATCCTTTCCTTCCCTCCCTCCTTTTTCTTTCTTTCTCTTTCTTCCTTTCTCCCCTCCGTTCTACTGTCGTTTCCCTCCCTCCTTCTCTTTTTTCTTTTTTTCTTCCTTTCTCCCCTCCTTCCGTCCTTCTTTCCTTCCATCCTTCTTTCCTTCCTTCCTTTTTTCTTTTCCTCTTTCCTCCCTTCTTCTCCTCCCTCCCCTCTTTCTCTTTTTCTTTCCACACCTGGTGCCTGGTGGTGCTCAGGTTCTACTCCTGGCTCTGTGCTCAGGAATCACTCATAGCAGGGCAATTGGGACCCTGTGGGGTGCCAGGATTGACTACATGGGTTCACCATGTGCAACCAAACGGCTTACCCACTCCAGCCCCAAATATCCTTTAAAATATTTTTTAAAAATTGAAATCTCCTTACTATGAAAGTTTTAAATCTATGAATAGGAGGTGAGGGGAGATAGTATAGAGTAAAGCCCTGAGCACCACTGAGTGTGGCCTCAAAACTAATAATAATAATAATAATAATAATAATAAATTTAGAAGGCTGTCTTGGGCGTTTTATGATGTTCAATGAGGAGAGATAAAACTCACTGAAAGGCAGTAGGGAGCCCAGACTAAATGGCTTTATCAAGGCAGGCCCCTGGGAGAAGCATTTGACAAGAAGCCAGGAGGCTCATTTAGTTCTAGATGTGGCTCTGTAATGTACTGCTTTGCTCTGATTAGGCCATTCAGCTTGTCTGTTTCCATTTCCTTATTTTTATTTCTTTTAGATTATTTCGGGGCCACACCCTGCTGTGTTCAGGGATGCTGTTTTCATCACCACTCCTACTGGTGATGGGGGGACCATATGCATTGGTGGGGATTGAACTGGGGTCAGCCTTGTGCAAGCAAGTGCCCAGTCCAGTGTACTGTCTCTCTGGCCTTTCTGTTTCTTTATGGTTGGACAAGATGCTTTTAAAGACCTGAAATTATTACCATATGGGCTGGAGAAATGGTATAGAGGACAGGGCACTCGTCTTGTACATGACCAACCCAGGTTTGACCCCTGGCACCTCAAATAGTCCCCTGAGTCTGCCAGAAGTAATCCCTGAGCTTAGAGCCAGGAGTGATCCCTGAGCCCAGACATGTGTGACCCCCAAATCAAAAATAATCACCTTGATACCACTGTTACTTTCTTTTAAGGAGGGTACTCTTTATTCATTTTTGTTTCTTTTTAGTCATTCTGGTTTATTTAAGTCAATTGAATACAACATTCTATCTATATAGAAGCATACAGAACATGAGTATGTATTTTTAATAATAGTAATGTGAGGGGCCCTACAGAGAATACAGGAGTTAAAGTTGCATGCCTTGCAGGGGGCTGACCCTGATTCTATCCCCAGCACTGCATACAGTCCTCCAAACACTACCAGGAATCATTCCCTGAACACAGAGCCAGAATAAGCCCTGAATATTGCTGGGTATGTCCCACCCCCAACAATAGAAATGTAAGAACCATATAATCATCGCCCAAATTAAGATCTTGAAATTGGGCCAGAAAGATACTTGGTTTGATCCCCAGTACCACATGTTCCCTGAAGCACCACTGGGAGTGGCCCCAGCAGTACTGGGGATGGCAGGATGGCTCCAACCCCCCTCAAGTTCCCCGCCCCCACCTGCCAACCCCACCCCCACAAACATTACCAGTGTCTTAGAAGCTGTTTCTGTGTTGCTCTTCTGATCAGGCTCCTTTCCTTCTTCCAATCATTTTGTTTATGTTTGGGGTCACACCCAGTGGTGCTTGGCTACTGTTCCCACCTTCATGCTCAGGTGGGGTTCCCAGCACCACAGGGTCACTCAAGCATCATCCAGAGTGTGACCCCCATAGCCCCAGCACAGAGCTGGGAGTAGACTCTGAGCGTCACAGATATTGCCCCCAAACCCAAACTAAATAAAATCAGATTATCTATATACGTATCACTAAAAATAGTTTTAAATATTTTGCCCACCTTAGAGGATGCCTATATCACCCAAAATATAGGGAGGAGAGGAAAGACAGTGAGTGGAGGGAGGGGGAGAAGAGACAGATGAGAAGCAACAGCGGGCAAGGGTAATACACATTGTGGCGATAAGGAACGATAGAGCTAAATATTCAAACCCCTTATTCAACAACACTGAAATCATGAGACCCAAACGTCAATAAACAAATTGTAAAATGGTGCCTGTTGAGATGGCAGGCCAGGGGGTGAGGGTTGGAGAGGGAACCTGGGAACACAGGTGAAGGGAAGATGGAACTGGTGGCTTGATCCGTGACAGAACATTTTATGTCTAAAATGCAACTATGAATAACTTTATAAAACGCGGTTGCTATCAGAAAATAAAATTTGGGGGAAATAAAAAGAAATGTTATAGCAAACAAAAAAATTATTTTTGCCCACTTTTAAAGGGCTGGAGTGATAGCACAGCGGTAGGGCGTTCGCCTTACAAGCGGCCAACATGGCCAACCCGAGTTCGATTCCTCCGCCCCTCTCGGAGAGCCCGGCAAGCTACCGAGAGTATTCGATATGCCAGACACAGAAACAACAAAGTCTCCAATGGAGACGTTACTGGGCCCGCTCGAGCAAATCGACGATCAACGGGAGGGCCTTTACCTTTACCTTTACCTTTACCTTACTTTTAAACTTATATAAACGAATTCAGCACCTGTGTGGGTATTTGTTTCACACGTGGACAAAGACTGAGACAGGTGTAAAAATGAAACATTTTTTTTTACATCACAGGATTCATGGATCTGTATCAGTTCTGATACAGATAAGGAACATGCTAAAAAATAGAAATAAATAAAAAAACCAAAATTTATATAAATGGAATTATATTCTCTCCCCCGCCCCCTTTTTTTTTGGTTTTGATTCGAGAGTCATACTTGGCAGAGCTCCAGAGCTCCCTCATGCAAAGCATTCCCTTTGAGCTATGTACATGACCTTACTCATGTGGGTTTTGTTTGTTCGTTTTGGTCTTTGGGGCACATCTGACTGTGCTTAGGGATCATTCCTGGTGGTACCCTATGTGGTTCTAGGGATCGAACCCAGGTCGGCTGGGTGCAAAGCAAGTACTTTTCCTGATGTACCATTTCTCTGACCCCTAATCTTGTATTTTTTTAAATTTTTAATTTAATTTAATTTTATTGAATCATCATGAGATATAGTTACAAGCTTTCATGTTTGAGTTATAATCACACAATGATCAAACACCCATCCCTCCCCCAGTACACAGTCTAGTCTTGTCCTTTTTTTTTATTTTTATTTTTTGGTTTTTGGGTCACACCCGGCAATGCACAGGGGCTACTCCTGGCTCATGCACTCAGGAATTACTCCTGGCGGTACTCAGGGGACCATATAGCATGCTGGGAATCGAACCCAGATTGGCTGCATGCAAGACAAATGCCCTACTCGCTGTGCTATTGCTCCAGCCCCTCTAGTCTTGTATTTTAGAGTATGCTTTTTTACTGGGCTGGAGCGATAGCACAGAGGGTAGAGTGTTTGCCTTTCACACAGCCCACCCGGGTTTGGTTCCTCCATCCTTCTCGGAGAGCCTGGCAAGCTATCAAGAGTATCTCGCCCGCATGGCAGAGCCTGGCAAGCTACCTGTGGCGAATTCAGTATGCCAAAAACAGTAACAAGTCTCACAATGGAGACGTTACTGGTGCCCGCTTGAACAAATCAATGCACAATGGGAGAACAGTGCTACTGTGCTACTTTTTTCTTATGTAGAATACAAAAATAGATACACCTTTTTTCATGGTCTCTTCTACTTGCTCCACTGCAGGAGTAATTGTGATTCACATTTTCACTACCACGTATTTACCACAGTTTTGCCTATTCTAAACTTAATGTCATAGGAACTATTCTCTTTGTGCTTGTTTGTTATCACTCAACATTATGTATGTAAAATTTATTGTTTTGTATAGAAAGTTTTTTCATTCTCATTATTTTATAATTTCCTACTAATGAATGTACCTCAATTTACTTACCTCATTTTACTGATGAGCAACAGTGGTTGCTTCTAGTTTTCTATTATATAGAAACAACATTCTTGGAGCACCTTTGAAATGTCTTTGGTATATACTGTACTTTTTGGGGGGGAGGGGGTGATGCCAGGGTTCAAACCAAAACCTCAAACTGCAGCATTCGCTCTGCCCCTGAGCCTTGGCCCGATTTGTTTTGTTTCATTTGGGCATCACACCTTGCAGTTCTCAGGGCTTACTTCTGGTTCTGCACCCAGGGATCACTTCTGGGTGTTCTGGGTGTTGTGCCAGAGATTGAACCTGGGTTGATTGCATGCAAGGCAAATGCCCCACCTATCCTATCACTCCAGCCCCCAAGGAGCTATATCCTTAAGGCTGAGTTTTCTCCAGAGTCCAAATTTGAAGATGGCAACTGGGATCCATGCAGGGTATCTTTGGTTTTCATAATTAGTGCCAAATTGTTTGCTAAGACGTCAGCTCCACCCCCTAGGGGGCTCAGTGTCTGCCATCCTCCAGAGGCCATTAGTCAATCAGGTTTGAGCCCTACGAGACACATGGGGCCTCACGGGATGGGGGTGGAGCTGGCCCTTTCCTCCCCACCCCAATGAGACCCCGAGTTGTCGCCCACGAACGGCTTCTCTGGCTCCTGATCAAACTGCTTAACGGCCATGATCCCAGAGACTCAGAAACGAATCTCGGAACCCAGTGGCTTTTGGCAGAAATGCATTGGACCCCACAGTAGATTACTGTTACCAGGCCACCCCAGAGGGGAAAGGGTGTTTTCCCTTGCCTGCTCCCTTTAGGTGGCTTGGTGGCCGCCATCATCCAGAGGCCATTGGGCAGTCAGGTTTGGGCTCTCAGTGACAAGACATGCGGGGCCTCATGGGATGGGGGTGGAGCTGGCCTTTTCCTCCCGGTCCCAATAAGACCCTGAGTTGCCGCCCATGAATGGCCTTTCTTTTCCTGATCTAGCTGTGTAATGGCCATGATTCCAGAGACTCAGGAACAAATCTCAGAAGCCAGCAGGTTTTGGCAGAAATCCCTCCAGATTTAAGTGTTAAAATTTCGGAATTCCAAAATCGCGCAGTCACTACTGCAGTCATGCAACATCATCTGTTATTCATAACCAGCAATAGAAAACAAATTGTGTACTGTTGCCTTTTCAGCAGATCTGAGTGTTGGGGTAAAATCCCAAATAATAATGGTGGGTCTGGTGTCAAAATATTGAATGTAATCAAAGTAGAGAGAGAGTAATGTGGAAATCATCTGCCCCACAGGCAGGGGGAGGGTGTGGGACGGGGGTATTCTGGGGTTTTTGGTGGTGGAGAATGGGCACTGGTGAAGGTATGAGTGTTTCATTGTATGACCGAGACTTAAACCCGAAAGCTTTGTAACTGCTCTCACGGTGATTCAATAAATAAAATTATAAAAAAAAGAAAATGAAAAAAAAAGTAAGGTGTAGTTCATGCACAATTCAATCATCCTAATCAGTGACTGAATAAATAGCATTATTTTACCTACATTAAAAAAAAAAGACGTCAACTCCATCTGTAGTAGAAGAGAGTCCTGTTGTCTCATATCTTTGCCAAAAGGGCCAGAGTGCCACAGCCATGTGTGTGAAGGCCAAGAGGACCTTCACAACCGAATCTTTGGTTGCTTTTTAGCCCAGTACTTCATTTATTCACTTGCTTCCTCCCAGTAATGGGGAAAGATTCAGATGTCCCTCATGGGTGGTCAATTTAATCATCCCTGAATAGGATTTTTTTTTTTTTCAGGGAGAGGGGTGGTGACGTGTTGGGTTACAGCCATCATTACTATTTTCCTATTATATGATTTTGAAGTGCTCTCAGGCTTTTAACTCTGGACAAATGTGAATGGTTGATCAGGGCAAAGGAACAGAGAGTTCAGAAAAGGCCTTTGTGTTTTTTGTTTTTTTTTTTGTTCTTATCTACTGACTGACTAAAGCCAATTCAGGTCAGGGCTCCAGGCTCTTGACGCCATCTGTCTGTCTGTCTGTGTATCAAGCAGCTGCCTCCCAGAGGAAAGGTGAAGCCAGATAAGCAGATTCCAGGTGCGGTCCAGGTGCGGTAGTGGTTTGTAGGGTACAGAGCTCAGTCAATAGAGCACTCTCATTTTATACAGCCCTGTCTCGGAGCCATAGAGCCGAGCACCAAACTGTATCCCTCCAAATTGCTAAAATGTAGGGACTGAGGAGAAAGCTTAGGGTCAGTGGTGTATGCACAATGACCAAACTGTATCCCTGACACCACATGAGCCCCCCTCAATCTCCACTCAGCCCCTGCACTGCTGTGGGTAGCCCTGGAGGCCCCAGCACCATTGGTGTAGTACTGAAGACTCCCAGTACCTTTGGACTTAAGCAGTGCCATATTGTTGACCCCCCTCATGGACTCATTGGGCCTGACTGGCAGAGGATCTTGGGAGTGGCCCCTGGGTACCCTGAGGAGCTACTTTAGAGCTCCCCCACCCCCAATTAATGGTGGCCAGATTGGTATAAGATTTTACAGGAGAGACATTAGTAGAATATCGAGATCTTAGAGAAACTGAGAATGCCTTTTGTTTGTTTTGTTTTGGGGTGTCACACCTGGTCATGCTCAGGGCTTACTCCTGGCTTTGCATTCAGGGATCACTCCTGGTGGGCTTGGGGGACCAAATGAGATGTCACGGATTGAACCTCTGTTTTCTTTGTGCAAGGCAAGTGCTCTACCTTGCCTTGTACTGTGTTATCTCTCAGGCCCCATAGTTCTAGTGGCTTTAAGTCCCAGGCGTTGGCAGCATTGGTTTCCTTGAAGCCATCTTCTCTCTGTTTCTTCACATGATCTCCCCACTATGTGTTTCTGTGTCCTAATCTTCTCCTTTCATAAAAATACTAGTCATGGGCTGAAGGTGTGGCTCAGTGGTAGAGCACATGCCTGGCATGTGTGTGGTCTTGGTTTTGATTTTCTAGACTGCAAAAACAACAGCAACATGTCATTTGGAATTAGAGCACACTCCAATAACCTTATTTTATTGCCTGTTTACAGCTTGTTTCCAATGCACTCCAATTCTGAGGGACTAAAGGGTTAGCACTGTAGTTTCCAAAATTGGAATTTTGGAACACAGTTTAGCCCATGACAGACATCTAGTTTCACCTCCTAGAAATGGGCCTTTCCTTTCTACTTGTCAGTCTAGTAGAGTAAGTTCTCTCCACCCTGTGGCTCTTTCTCCTCCTCCGCCTCTTACAGACAAAATGGCTTGTATAGCAAGAACTCATGGAACAACTCTGAAGAGCTTATGATAGAAATGGGCAGGTTGTGACATGTACCAGTCTCCACAACACTTAGGAGTTGATGAAACTCCAGGTATATTGTCTTAAAGACACAGCTCTCTGCTCATCTCTTTGCCCAATATATTACCATTTGATGATGATGTGATTTTTGATCTCACATAAATGGTATGTCCTAACTCATCTTCCAATAGGCTTTTCCTTGCCTATAGGTGGAGTAAAAAATAGGACATGTTAAGGTTTGCTGAAGTTTCATAAAAAGATAAGTTTTTGAAGGGCTTTGCAATATGGGATTGGAAGTACCCAAGCACAGACTGAGCAATACCTCTAAGAATTTTGGGCTCAGGGGTTAGAATGATAGAAGAGAAGCAAGGCACTTGCTTTGTATGCAGACTCCCTGGGTTTGATCCCCCGAATCCCATATGATCCCCCAAGCATCACTAGGACTGATCCCTGAGCACAGAGCTAGAAGTAAGTCCTGAGCACTGCCAGGTAAGGCCCCAAAACATAGAAAAAACC